TAAATGGGGGGTGCCCACTCTTCTGTAAATAAACTCCCTACCCTATGCTCTGTTAACAAGCCCAATAGACTCGTTAGGATTTTTTTTTAAAAAAGCATATTTTAAAATTAATTTTGTTATTAAAGATAAATTTAGAACCTAAATTTCTTCTTCTGGCCTCCATTTTGTCCCTCTACAGACATCAGGATTTGTTTTTGGAGCAAAGTCAATGAAGTTGGACTTGAGGCCAAGGCCCTATTTGAGTTTGGTATATTTATACTTTTGGAGGTCCCTTGAGAACAGGGACTGCCCCTATGTTGAGTGCCCTTATTCCCGGGAGGGGATGTAATAGTGGAGTGTACTCTCGGGATGGTGTCATATGTCCTGCCAGCTCAAAACAGCTGGCTGCAGAAGGGTAGGTGTTGTAGTTTTGGCTACAAAGGGCTCTTTGATTTATCCTGTTTTTCAGTTGTTTTTTTGACATTGTTTATCCCAGGCTGAAACATTAACAAACAACCTGGTCCAGTCAAGGGCTCTGGTCATAGGCTGTGAAAGGGTTTTTTACATTCGGACTTGTGACTACTAAATCGGTTGAGAAAAGCACATTATCCCTTGGTCCACACTAATAAACAAACACCAAAACCATTTGTCTACTAACCCCCAAACTGAGGAATTTTATCTAAGAGTAAATTCAGGCACAGCAATCAGGGCCATTAGAAATTACTGTAGGGAGTGCTCAGGCAAAGGGAAAGGAGGGTGCCTGTTGTCATTTGGCAGACCTTAGCTGCTGGAGCTCGGTGTCCTGGGTGCCACAATCTATTGTTGGCAGAGATTTATGGAGAGCAACAGGTTAGGGAGTTAGTGGACAAAGGACAGAGGAGAATCCAGCTCTCCTGTTCTTGAAACAGATAACAAGACAGGACAGGACAACACTGACAGGACTAGTCCTTTAGAACATTATTTTAGACTCAAAGGAAGTATTTGATCACACAACAACTTAGGCGGCCATGCATTCAAACAAAACCAAATCTCAATCTCTCATGAGAGACAGAACTACAAAACTGAATTTAAAGAGATTTCTCACTATTTATTATCCTTCTTTTTCTATAAAACCTTTTAATCACCTGCCTTTAAAGGAGTAGTCTTCTGTAAAGATTGAGGATCCAACACTATAAGATTACACAGAGACCAGACATTTATGGGGATAATTTTGCCCTATCTGTGTGCTTCTTTAAATGTTTGCATCATATCTTTCCATTGCTGCCTATGCAGCATGCCTTCAAGAGGCAGGCAGTGAAAATATTTATCTGTATATGCAGAAAACTCATAATTTTTTTCTTTTTATTCAGACTCTCGATGCTTTAAGTGCCACGCACAACACTTACTATGGGCCTGTCCCATACTTACCCTGGCATCCTGGAGTGGGGCCCCATGCTCCAGCTTACCAGAGCTCCATTATTCTCCAGTGTTTTTTGGTAGATTCCCTATGCTTCAGTTAGGTCCCTGCAGGTCCCTGTTCTGGCACCATGTGTAGCCCTCCTGCTTGACCAGTTCTGAAAAACTGAGAGTAAACCAGAAGACCCTTGGCATTTGTCCACTCAAGAGCACTTTCACTGCCCTCTTGAGAGGTGTCACTGGAAGTTCAGTGTTTGAAGTTCACACAGAGTTTACATAGGGTAGGTGCTCAAACAGTGCAAAACACATAGGGATTTTCCCATCATAATGATGAGAAAAGAAGCACAGTGTGTCCAAATCCTTGGTGACTGGCCCAGTAACAGACTTCCTTTGATGTACGCAGACACATAAAGTGGGGCATGCACCTGCCCTGGCTTTCCAAGGACAGCTTGTCTGGTCTCCTTCCTGGCATTCTGGGAACAGACTGGCCCCTCCTCCTGCCTCTATATCAACAAAGTCCAAAGAAGTCTGTTAACTTAATGAGCCAAGTGACAGGAGACTGTTAACTATTAGTGTGCAAAGCGCTATCATCCTTAAAGGACAAAGGGGGGTACTACAATGTGGTATTCCGACAACTGAACTTAGATTAATGCATATTTCACAAAATTTCACAGTATTTGTTAATCCACATTCTATACTGGAAGATAAGAGCAGTCAAATTTGCTTGAAGGATGCAGGCAGACAATGTTTGTTTTTTTTT